ACCACTCAGCTCACGCTGAAAACAAATGAAGCTCTCCGCAGCAAATTCGAGCTTTGCGAAAACTTTCTCTGTACTGGATTAGGCGGCATGTGGGATTGCAGAAATATTCCAAATCAGGCAAGCTATGTGAAGTTCTGCGAAGTCGCATACAACATATCTATGACGTATAATCACCCCCACGTATTTGAGCTCCTATCCAGAGCTTCCGTCAACGGCGCGCCGAACGCCCTGGCTACCTCCAGTGGGTTTAACGTTAATGCTCCTTGCGAGCAGCGGCCGCAGCGCGCTCTTCTGCTGAAAAATCCAAGGTCCTGGAAATGATTTCTGAATGCGCACGTAATATGAGGTCCCGGAAATGATTTCTGGACGCGCATGTAATTCCATATGCGCAGATGAAAATCATCTCCGGGACCTCAGGTTGCATCTTCAAAAAATAATCGTGTCTGGCGGAAATCACATCCTGGTCGTTTGATTTGTTGTTGGTGTATAGACTTACGAGGAAGACTTTACTAGTAGTAGTAGCCGCGAGTATATCGTGGTCACGCAGAATATAAAGTCTTTGTAGCGTTGATTATATTACATACGTAAGAAAATAAACACGGCATTAGAGTCCACCTGTAGCTGGGTCGATGTGTTCCCTTCTAACAAACATGTCCTGTCGCCCCCTAATATTCCTGTTCGATATGAACATCATTTTGGCCTCCTCGTCTGATCAGCAAGTACTGTCCTCCCTTAAAGTTCTTGGTCGGAATCAACGTCGCTTCGAACTCCTCCTCATCATCCTCTACTGGTTGGCTTTTTGAATGTCCTTCACCGCCTGCTGCTGTCTCCATGCTGCGATAAGTGTGAGTGCTTCTTCTGTATGCTCCGAGTCGCCCCGAATGGCGCCTGCGATGTCGATCGACTCGTATGAGGTCCATGTAATTCCCCTGTCTACCGTCGCATGATCCGCAGTTATTCCGTGTATCTGCGTGGGCAAACTCAGTACTAACTCAAACTGAGGTACTCTTTCAATATATGCGAGCCAGTTCTTGACGTGGCAAGAGTATCCATCAAGCCCAACTGAAAGCAAGATCGGCTTCACTCCAAGAGTAGTAGCTGCTTCTAGGTCCTTAGTAACGTTATTTGTGAACCTGCATGCTATCTTGGCAGAGTTGAGTTCGTGTTTGGTATCGTACGCTGCTGGGGTGTGATAGGCCCCATGAGGGAGATACCTCGTCTGCGCCGTGTAAGCTTCATGAAGAACTGCGCTTCGTCCGGTGGGGCCAAAGACTGTTTCAAAGTGTTGCAAAAATTTGCTTCCAAATAAAGGTAATCCCTCTTTGAATTTAGCCTTCTTGCCTAATCCACCTTTCCATGACTCCGGTGGTTGCTTGGAACTCCTGGCTACTATTATAATCGTAGGGGCAGACATGCCGAGATTGTAGCGATGCACAGTCGATCGATCTGGGTTGAACTGGCCCTCACACGCTCGAACGTGGGCGGCCATGTCATACAAACAAGCAAAATACGTTCCGCACCCGAGGTGACACACATATGGGCTACGGTCGTCGTTGCTGTGAGCTCGGGCGTGATCGGCGATCTGTTTCCCAGTAAAGTTGACGGCAGTACACTGTGTATATGGTTGCCATTTACACTTCACGGCGATGGTCTCGTCCCTCTTGAGTTCCTTATGGCGGCAGCTGTCTACCGTTTGGTCGTAGGTTTGATATCGCTTCGTGCACGAAGCAGCCACTGCCAATCTGCATGGGATCTTCCACGATCCATCCTCAAGGGGGTGGACGTCTATATCAGACGCTGCCCGGGTACCATGACTGCTGGTGACATGAGCGAGCAGAGCAGACTTTTTGTCGAATCGTTTGTCATAGCTTTAGGCAATGCTCTTGACAGTATAAAAGATTCTAGCAATAGCTAGACTTCCAAAGGTGTAGGTGTGTAGTTTGAGGGTTATTAGCGGACACGAATTAATTCGGGGGTGGCTTCCTCTGCGCGAGGGTCTCGGAGAATGCCTTTGACGCAGCTTGTGCCTCGCTATCCAGTATCTTGGTCTGACGAGCGATTGCCAGTGCTGTATTTTGTGTGAGCGCGTTGGAGAGTAGACGTATCGTCAGTTAGAGTATAGCCTACCTGGTTTCGAGGACCAGTTTCCTTGGCGAGAGGGTTTCGGCACAGACCATGTCTGGGACGCAAGAGCAGTCACTTGTGCATAGGAGCAACCTGCAGAATTCGCGTGAGCGTGTTGGGAAGGTAGCGGTGTTGTCGAGGTGGAGTATGGTTCACTTGGTGTCGCACAGCGGCTTCCTCTGCGAGAGGGTGTCGGGGAAACTGCGTCCTGGAGGCGGCAGCAATGTCCTATGCGCAGAAGCAACCTCCAGAACGCAGCGTGTGCTCAATCATCTAGTGATTGGGTCTGAGGCGCAAGTGCCAGTCTCGTAGAATTGGTGTGAGCGCGTTGGGAGCAGACCTCGGGAGGTTGTCGTTGTCTGAGGTCATAGCGCCTAATCTCGATTCGGCCTAGGCTGTCGACCCTCACTCCATGAGATGGCCACGGCAAGCGGCCCCAAGTCAAGCTACGCCCCCAATGCTGCAACTCATTGTACCACGCCCGCGCTCTGTTGTAGTCGGCGATCTCTTTCCCTATGTAGCCAACTGCCGTACAGCCTATGTAAGCCTTCCATTTGCATGCGACAGCGACACTCGTATCTAGTTTCAGCCCCTTATGCTGGCAACTGTCAACAATATCATCATAAGTTTGATAACGCTTGTGACAGGATGCTTCCACAGACCACCTGCATGGCAGCTTGTACGATCCGTCTTCTAGGGGGTCGTCTTCCACGTTAGATGCTGCCTTCCTATCATGCTTGTTCGTAACGTGGACAAGCAAGTCAGACTTCGCGTCAAATCGGCTCTCGCAAGGGAACGGACAACTCCACTAGGCTCGATGCGCGAATGGTGTAATAGGTCCTGAGGATGCTGGCACTGCTGGCATGTCCGTTGGGTTAAGAGCCTGGAGATAAACGTTAAGACGGAATTTCACTCGTGGCTGCGGTTTGTTGCTCTCTAGACGATTCTCCGTGTCTGCTGCCGCATCCATCGCTTCACCCAAATCTTCAAAGTCCTCAACCAAGTCTTTATCCAGGTCCTCACCCAGCCCTCCATCAGCATCGTCCAAGTCCTCGCCTAGTTCTTCATCAGTATCGTCCAAGCAGATGGGAGCTTCTTTTTTTCCTAGGTCATGCTTTGGAGTCTTCCTCTTCGACACTGCAGGCTTGCTCTTCTTGATGGCTGTTGCGGCTGATTGCTTCCTTGTGGTGAGCTGCCGTTGCTCTGCCGCGCTCCTCCTCTTACGCTACAATTGTGTTTTCGTATGAGCTACCACATTAGCTGTAGGATCACGATAGGGAGTGGTGGTCGAGGGGATGCGAGCTGTCGTGAGCGTTCAGCGAAGGACACGTTGTGGGATGGAAGCAGTCGCTGTTGCTGCAGCTAACAAATTCCGTGCTTGCGCCGTCGAGGCTTCCGCGCTCGCGCCGTGGGAAGGCGTCATGGGAAGGCGCCGTGCATCTTGAGCCGCCACTGATTGCGTCGCAGCCTCCTTTCTTCTTGGACAGGTTCCTGGACAGCCGCATCCTGAGCGCAAGATAAGGACGCTGCTCTTGCCATTTAGTAACATGCAGGCCAGACCTGCAGAGTTTGTGTGAGCGTAATGTAGAGCAGAGGTAGAGTAAGTTCACCTACTAGCACATAGCTGCTTCATCTGCGAGTGGGTTTCGAAGAAGCCGTGTCATAGAGGCAGGAGCAGTCTCCATGCCGCAGCGTGTGCTCAACCAGCTGGTAAATACGTCTGAGGCGAGTTCGTTAGCCTAGAGAGTTTCTTTGAGCGTGTTGAGGAGCAGGTGTTAGCAGAGGTTGTGTACGGTCAGTGTGGATTAGGATCCGCAGTGATGTCACGGCTCTCTAGTCTTAATCCGGCCTATGTAATCAGCGCAGTATTTCACGTCTCTACCTCCAACATCACCGGCGCAACCAGCGCAACCAGCGCAGTCATCTACCCTGACTATGCTTGACACAATCTAGCCTAGCCCGCGACAATTTCGTTGCAGATACAATGGTGCGATCTACTCAGACACGTTTTCGGCGCAATTTTGCAAAAGAGACTGCCGTACAAATCGTGCACCAACAAAGTTTCTCGACCATCCGGGGGAGATCCGGCACACCGTTTACTTGTACGTAGGTAGAAGTGGGTATCTTAAACGACTGGGCACTAGAATAAATGTTAAGTATTCATCCACATACACTAATTAGTGTAAAGGTTTGAGATCATACAAAAGATAAGAACTAAGTTGATTATTATGAAGCTAAGAGGTGATCACTATATAGATGGCAGAGATGTACTAGGCTAGATGTAGACTAGATGAAAACCATCCCCAGATGCCGTAACAATTAGTAAGAGCGGAGACGGACTGTGAATTAATGTATAGAGAATCGCAGCTGTTGAAGTATGCAAGCTCGATGATATAAAATTCAAAGAAAAGCCAAGAGAGAGAAGCTGCAAAGTATAACTAAGAAGAAATAAACACTAGTTGCGAACAGACACATGTTCCGCCAAATCTGTAACCCATATCTCCTCAATCTACAGTGACAGCGGCAAGGCAAACAAAGTACATGAATGCAGTAAGGTTTAGGTGGAATGTGACATAAAAGAGTTTATTGATAAGACAAAGTATTCCAACAAAAATATAAGGCGAAGCTACGCGGCATAGGTTGTGATGCCTAGATCCATGCCCACGCACCCTGATGGCATATGCAGTAGATGATGTGTACCCACCCCCACTATTCAATTACCCCGCCTGTTCTGTTCTGTTCCCGCCCTGCCCCGCTCGCACGCACGCACAGTGCAAAAATCCCCCCTCACCGCCCCTCACCGCCCCACCGCCCAAAATCTCCACACCACCACACAATATATACTTTGAACACCGGAAACACTAGATATCGTTAGCGCAAGCGTGGCCGAGCGGTCTAAGGCGGTAGATTTAAGTCATTGGCTAAAACTCTACTACAGAAATGTGCGTGGGTTCGAACCCCACCGCTTGCAGGTTTGCTCATTTGCAATTTTCTTTTTGCATGCATAGGTGTGACGAGGGTGTGGATGTGAATGGGCTGCGGTAATGGTGCGGGGTATTTTATGCGCGGATGGGGGGTTGTGGTGGATAGGCGAGGCGAAGCGGAGCGAGGGGTGGAGGAACATCAATTATTTTTTGGTAGGGCAGGATGACGATTTGAGGCGGAGCGAGGGCTAGAGGAACATGAATTATTTTTTGGGCAGGATAATGATTCTGTAGAATGGGCACAGTAAGATAACAGCTTCGTAGCGGTTATCGGACCAACTAACACACTGGTAGACACATACATGATACAGTAGCAAGCGCATCAGTCTACTCGATCGGTACCACAGCAGACATCAACGTGTCCAAGTGCTAACCACATCACAGCCCTTCACCTGGCACATACAGGATCTTCGCAGAAAGAACACAGTCAGTCTATTTCGCACTAATCTAAACACCACAAAAACCGCTAATAACCAACCAACCAACACACCCCTACCCAGCAAGCACCCCTTTCACCCACTTACTGCATCTACATACAGTATCCACTACACCGCCCCCCTACTCCATCCCCCGCGCATCCCTCACCACACTCTCCCAAACGCCCTCCCAGTCCTTCCTCCCACCCCCATACATGCCCTCGAACGCGACAATCCCCAGACTGCCCAAAAACGGCCTTATCACGCGGTCCACCAGCTCGCGCCTTGCCATATCCGTAACCTCAGCGCCCTCCTCCTTCTCCAGCGCCTCGATGAGCGGATCGAGAAACAGACTGCGCGTGGGGTCGCCACTGGCGGCGGTGGTCTGCGAGGTGGAGGGGTAGGGCACGGACGAGCGGGCGCGCGCCGTGGGCGTCTCGCTCGCAGACAGAATCTCCGCGATCTCGTCGGCGAGCGAGAGCGGCGAGGTGCTGGTCGCGGGCTTGTACACGGCGTCGATGGTGTCGGAGACGTAGAGCCACTGCAGCAGCTGGAAGTCGTCGGGGTCGAGGACGACGAGCGCGTCGAGCAGCTTGCAGGCTTGGATGAGGCCCGTGTTGGTGTAGTGCTCTTTGTTCTCGGCGTCGGGGAGCAGCGACGACAGCGCGGATGTGAGCTCGGCGTTGATGGTGGGCCAGAGGGGCGCGAGGTGGATGGACGATGTTTTGAGGATGAGGGCGCGGAGCAGGATGATGACTTCGGCGCGGGTGATTGACGAAGGGGAAGACGCGGGCGTGGCGGACAGGAGTTCGACGACTTTCTCGGAGATCTGGGGCAGGTTCGAAGTGAACGCGTCTTCGGGGCTGGCGAGGATGAGGAGCGCGATGCGCTTTAGAGTGAGCTGGGTTTTGCGGTCAGCTTCTTGCCGGGCGGAGGCGGCGCCCACACCGAACATGATGCCCGCGGTGGTGGGTGCGGAGAGGCGCGAGAGGAGTTCGGGGAGGCGGTCTTTGTCGGAATGCGTCCATTGGGCGAGGATGGGAAGCCATGAAGTTCGAAGAAGCGAGAGAGGGGTGCTCAGGAAGCGTGGATCATTAAAGGCATCGGAGATCTCCTTCTTCCACAATTTGTTCGATTGCGCTACTTTGGCCAGTCCTTGCAGCAAGTCAAGAATCCCTTTAGAGACATTGTCTGGAAAGGCTTTTGCGCGGAAAGTTGGTCCGATGACCGAGGTAGAAATGTTCGTCACCACAGTCGCGACGCGGTCGTTCTCGACGAGAATGATGGGAAGATTCGGCACGACAGCGGTGAGAATGGACACGACGTCGGTCGCTCTTTTCTGGCCAATACCGCCGTTGGTAGATGAAGAGGCCTTTTCGGCAGCAGCGACCTGCGCAGGATCTTGTAGGAAGCCCATCGAGCGTGTTGTAAATACCGCGGTCAGGATGCGTGTGAAGATGTCCTTCAAGGGGTCAGCTGATTCTATATCACGATGCAGGAACACATACCGCCAGCTCTTTCCGCAATCTCCGCTGCTCTCCAAAGTTGGTGTTATCGACCTTTTGCCCGATGACCGCAGTGAACTCGAGTAAGCTCGGCAGTATCTGTCTGTGAGGAAGAGGATTTGCGAGTACATCGCGCAAGAACAGGCTGCAGTCCGGCCATATCTCATCCATGGCATCGTCTTCCAACGACATAGTGTAGTCGACCAGGAAAGTAACTAGATCCGTGTCGGTTAGATCGGAAGTCAGCGTTGACATTCTGTGCGGGTCCAGAGCATTCGGGTTTGTCCGACTATATACGGCATTGAATATGGCAGGAATCGTATGCTTCGGCTTCGAGCCATTCAGAACATTAAGGAGCCCCATGACGGCTGTCGCATGTAGATCATCCTTTGTTGAATGTGCCCAGAGAACCGCCAGTGTTTCGAGACATTCTAATGCTTCTGCGGCAAAAAGATGCTCTAATATGCGCCTGGCTCGGTTACGCATGCGAAGAGATGTATATCCGAACGAAGCAGCTGAGGTTGGGTCCTGCCGTCCATCTTTAGGGCCGTATCCGCCCCAAGACCAGATTGCGAAGCAGATCCGAACCGTGTCCTGGAAACATAAAAGTACCGTAAGCCGGCTATTGGCTGTCGGCGTACGCGTATGGCTAGAGTCTGAGGCGAAGACTCCAGACACCATGTTACCAAAGAAACCCTGTGGCTGCTCGGGAGATTTGGTAATTGTGCTCTTGTTCTCCTGGATCGTCAAGCGGTAGTGCGCTTTCTCCAAGATTTGCTCCAACCCGTTGATCAACGAGATCAGCGTTGGTTCTGGGGAGATTTCCGTGCCGTTCTTCGACGTGCTGAATATGGTTTTGAGCTGCTCAAAAGTTTCGGTAATCTGTTTGCATAGGCATTCAACAAGCGGGAGAAGGTTTTGGAAGATAGTGTCGTCGAACAGGGGAAGCACTTTTACCAGCAAATGAACCCAGTCATCCAGTACAAGACGACTTGAAGGCGACGTGAAGCCGTATTTGAGAATTTCGACTAATTGCGGAGGTGGCGGTATAGGCTGCAGTTCAGTCTCGAGAGAGTCTCTGTTGATAGCAACTGACAATCTTGATCGATGCGTAAGTTGATTTGGCGCCTTTTGCTCCGCGTTCGCTTGCTCTGGTGGCCGGACTAGACGGAGTTCCAACGCGGAGAGAGTAGTGTCGAGAAGAAGGCTTTGTAAGGAGGGACTCGCAGTTCTTAACCTGGCCATAAGTGGGACTTCTAACTCAAGATCTCTGATAGATAAGGCAAATGGACTCTGATAGACTTGCGAGATGATTGTAATGGAGGTTTGATACAGCTCCTGGAGATGTCCTGTTCCGACAGACTCTGTGGTGCCAGTGTGTAGAGAAAGTGTTTTCAGGCATGTTCTTACTAACCACTCTTGTAACGATATTCTGGCTGATGATTCATGATCCGGGGGAGCTGACTCTTTGACCAGAGTTTCCCATATATGGTCAGAGGGCCGTTTCAGAATGTTCAGGATATGGTTCAAATAATATAGACACTCCTTCGTATCGTCCGCCCGCCTCCATCGTTGGGGCGCGGGCTTGCCGGGGACCAGGTTGTCAGTACTTGATAAGCAGTGAAGTGACTGTAAATGTATAGCGAGAACTTCGAATACCCAATTCAGAGTCGGTAGATCCCGCAACCAACTGCTCACGAATGCGGACAACTCTGTCCCTTCATCTGCAAGTGAGTCGAGAAGTAGAAGAAGTGGTCTGGTCAAGATCGATTGAAATCCCGCCGCTGTTGACACTGGAGGGGCTACAACAACCCCACTATGGCGACGAGTCAAGCTGCCTCGCTTTTCAGACTGAAGACTCAACTCATACATGGTCTGAGTCCATAGAACCGCAAAACGTCGCCCACTATCAGCTAGACTCTCCTGAGAGGAACCGTGTGGCATAGACGTGTGGCGTACTATGATCGAAGAAATGGCCGCTTCTACCATGCGATCTGAGGGGGAAACCGTGTGTAATTGCAGGATGCAACGCACAGCCTCGACATGATACTTGGGCATTAATGGAGACAAGTACTGCCAGAGCCAGGCCACCAATGGATGAACAGTCTCCGGAAGCTGGGAATGTGGAAAATAAGGATCCGCATTACGAGCGGTCTGTAGCGCGGAGAGAACATAGGTTATGGCATTTAGATGACCGAACGGTAGCATCGGACTCGATTGGTGCGTCTGTGTGGAAAGAACCTGCTGAAACACAGAGAACGGGTCGAGATCATCTAAAGCGTCCAGCTGCTGGACCCGAAAAATAAGATTTGCGAGAATCCTTGAAGGCATATCGGAAGTAACTGTGGTTTTACTCGATTGTAAAGAATCTGCAAACATGCGGTAGGACTCCAACAAGATAATTTGGCCCAGCTGAGCTGCCGTGAAGGGAGTGTCGACGACATCCAGACTCCCCTGCGACTCCTCATAAAATACCCTGATCTTCTCAATGATAAACTCCCGTGGAGTCTCAAGGGTAGAGGTCGGATCCTGGTCGTCAGACTGCTCGTCTCGTAAAGCCCGATCTGGTACGATCTGAACAAGGGAATCTGTAATTTCCAATGCGAGGTCTACGAGTTCTTTCTCGGATGACAAACCGGAGTCCGTTTGAGTAAAGGCTGTGTTAAGTGCAGCAAGCGTCGAGAGAATCATCAAGGGCATGTGATGCACAAGCATATCCTCTTCCTTCAGATTGAAGCGTGCGAGAACAAATTTGGCTAGTTTCATGCTCTGAAGAGCACCTCTCCGGTTGGTGTTTTTTACGTTCAGCGCCGACGTCATCAGTTCGACCAACTTGCCCCATATTAGACCACTGTCTACGCCGTCAAAGAAGGCGCTAGCGCTCTTCATCACCTCGTCTACCTGCTCTTTCGTAGCGATCTCGCTGTATGACTGGATACTCTGAAGTGCAGGCAAAAAGAGTTCGGGGACTATGAGTCCACCGACTTCCCAGCGATCCATTAAAGACAAGCAGACTCGAAACGGTCGCGCTCGATCAAAGGGAGAAGTGCTAACTCGTTTTATCAT